ACCAATATGGCTGAGTAAAGACCTTCTGGTCGAACTGAAGTGCAAGAAGTAAATGCACAGGCAGTGGAAGCAGGGATACATATCCTGGGAAGAATGCTGTCTAGATGTGTAGGGATGGAATTAGAAAAGCTAAAGTACATCTGTAACTGAATGTGGCAAGGGACATGAAGAATAACAAGAGCTTCTGCAGGTACACTGACCAGAAACAGATGACAAAATAAAATGGCCCCCCCAATAAAAAGGACAGGAGATTTAGTGACAACTAGCATATAGAAGACTGAAGTACCCTACAAATTATTTTGCCTCAGTTTTCACTGGCAGTCTCTTTCCCATCTCCTATGTCTGTGACACTCAAGGCATAGACTACAGGAATTAAGTGTCTCCTCTACTGTAAGAAAAGATAAAGTTCAAGACTGTCTGAGGAACGTGAATAAGCAGAAATCCATGGCACATAAGGGGATTCATCCCAGGGTCTTCAGGAAATTAGCAGCTATAGTTGCAATTCAAATACTGTGTAATATTTTCACCAATAACAAGAGTGAGATCGAGTGCACCCTCAGCAAGTTTGTGGGTGACACCATGCTCAGTGGGGCCATTGATTCACTGGAAAGAAGGGATACTGTGCAGAGGGACCTTGACAGGCCTGAGGAGTTGGACCCCATGAACCTCGTGAAGCTCAACAATGTCAAATGCATGGCCCTGCACCCACGTCAGGGTCATTCCAAGTATCAGTACAGACTGCAGGAGGAACTGATTGCAAGCAGCCCTGCATAGAAAGACTCAGAGATAGGGGTAAATAAAAATTTGGACATGAGGTGGCAATGTGCATTTGCTGCTCAGAAAGCCAGTGGTATCCTGGGCTGCATAAAAAAGAAAGAACAGCTAGCAGATTGAGGGAAGTGATTCTCTTCATCCATTCCAATGAGACTTCACCTGGAGAACTACATCCATCCCTGGGGTCCCCAGTACAATAAAGATTTGGAGGAGGTCCACAGGGGAGCCATGGTAATGATCAGGGAACTAGAACACCTCTGGCATGAAGAAAGGCTGGGAGAGCAGTGGTTGTTAGGCCTGGAGAAGACAAGGCTCTGGGCAGACCTCAGTGTGGCCTTTTGATATATGAGGAGCACTTATAAGAAAGAGAAAGACTTTTCACCAGGGCCTGTAGTGGCAGGGCAAGGGGCAAGGTTTTAAAAGTGAAAGACGTTAGATTCAGCTAGGTTCCAAAGAAGAAATTTTTCATTATGAAGGTGGTAGAATAAGAGAAGTTGTTGATGCCCTCATTGGAAGATTTCCAAGCCACGTGGGACAAGTCTTTGAGCAACCTGGACTAGTGAAAGATGTGTTTTCCCAGGACAACAGTGTTGGTCTAGATAATCTTTGAAGGACCCTTCCAACACAAATCATGCTATGATTCTGTAGTGCACCAAATCACATGGGCTCATAGGAAGGACCTTCCTGAAAGCCTTTATTCATACCAGAAGAGGAGAAAAGGGAGTTTTTGAATTCCTGACTGAACTTTGGAAAAGTTTTGTAGAATCATGGCATTATAAAATAATCTGAGTTGGATGGGATCCATCAGGATCCATCAGATCCTTGCCATGTGCAGGACAAGCCAAGAGTTGCACTATGTGCCTGAGTGTGTTGTCCAAATGCTTCCTGAGCTCTGTCAGGCTGCTGCTGTGACCACTTCCCTGTGGAGCCTGTTCCAGTGCCCAAACCTCTGGGGAGAAATCTTCTTCCTTATATCCACCCTAAACCTCCCCTGACACAGCTTCATGGCATTTCCTTGAATCTTGTCATTGGTCACAGGAGTGAAGAAATCAGTGCTTGCCTCTCCTCTTCCCCTCATGAAAAAGCTGGAAACTGTGATGAGGTCTCTCTCCAGTTTCCTCTTCTCCAGGCTGAACAGGCCAAGTGATCTCTGCTGCTCCTCATACAGCTTCTCCTCCAGACCCTTCACCATCCTCATGGCCCTTCCGCAGATGCTCTCTGATGATAAAATGCCTTTTTTATAGTGTGGCACCCAAAGCTGCACACAGCACTAGAGGTGAGGCCAAGCAGTGCACAGCAGAGGGAACCATCTCCTCCCTTGCCCAGCTGGTGATGCTGTGCCTGATGTCCCCAGGACAGGGCTGGCCCTCCTGGTTCCCAGATCTCATGTTCAGCTTGCCATCAACCAGGACCCCAAGGTCTGTTTCCTTGGCACTTTTTTCCAGTGTCTCGTTCCCCAGTCTGTACACACAATGAGGATTGTCCTGTCTCAGGTCAGGTTCCAGCACTTGTCCTTGTTAAACTTCACATGGTTCAATTGCCAATCTCTCTGATTTGTCAAGGTCTCTCTGCAGGGCCTCTCTGCACTCGAGGGAGTTAACAACTCCTCCCAGTTTAGTATCAATGGCAAGCTTAGTATTCCTTTGACCCTGAATTCCAAGTTGCTAACAAAGCTGTTGAAGAGGACTGGGTGAGGATGGAGGCCTGCAGAAGCCGCTGGTGACAGGCTGCTGTTACCCACCCCAGCCCCTGTAACTCTTGGTGCCTGATGTGTGAGAACCAGCCTGGCTGACACAGCAGGCCCCGGCTCCCCGCAGAAGGGAGTGTCTGATTACAATTATCCTTCTTTTCCTCAAAACAGAGGAGGTCTTGATGTGGGGTACAGATGGTGCTGTTTTAGGGGGCTCCTCTGTCCCAGAAAAGCTCACCTCATCACTTGTCTGACTTTCTACTTCCAGGGCCTCATGCCTGTTGTAGAAGGTGCCAGTCCTACTCGTTCTGGTTTCAGGAGGAGGAGGAAGCTTCCTCTTGGTCTACCACTTCCAAATATCTTTGTCCACTGTACTTTAAAAGTGTTCTGTAACCAGAAGGATCAAGAAAATCACTGCCTGTGCTCCTAATTTTTCAACCAATCAGCCCAAGGTCAATTGGTATTTAATAAATAGTCTGTTAGCTTGACAGTTTATTTTAAGGGGAAAATAGAAGACAGAGGTAATCTTGTTTTTACTGAGTACATCATAATATTTGAAGCAATTATTTTTTAAAGTAAGTTCACCCATTAATTAAGGGAATTAAACTTATTTCTCTTTTCCTCCTCCACCTGAAAATCTTTGCAAGATCTCTTTCCATTTCCTTATTTCCTTAGCCTAAAACCTGTCTATTATTGTGAAAAACAAAATATTAGAAGTCCACATAGGTGGTCAAAATTTTGGAGGGTCAGGAAAAGTTACCTTTAGGAAAGCACATAGAATGTTCCAGGAATGTGCTGCTATATCAGGTGTTTGGAAGTAGGATAGAGGTCTAGCCTAAACCCAGAAAATTGCATTTGCAAAGGTTCAAAACAAGTTAAAGGCAAAAGAGCTAGTGTCTCGGAGTTGTTAGAATGGATTAAGATACAGAATTTGAAGGAAATTTGTATGCTACAGGATTATCACCCAGAAATTTCTCCCCAGTGGTGTGTACCTTTCCCAAGAGTTTCACTTCTGTGCCAATGTAGTTCACAACCCAAAATTCACAGTGGATTCAGTAGGTGAAACTACCACAAAATACAACATAAGGAGAAAATCAAATCCACATCATCTACTTTTTATCCTCTCTCACATGATGTTTTTCTGCTGGTTGTCTTCCCTAGAAAAAACCTCTCTGAAATGCCACCACATCTCTTGACAGTCTCTAAGTACACCCCAGTCAAGATAACCTAGCACCACTGACAAATTCATAAAACTGACCCCACCATCATCAAAACTTTACAAGTCAGTGTATGATATTTTATTACTAAAATATAAAGTGAAAGAAGTCAAACAACTGCATTTACAATAATGTGAGTCCATCACGTGGGTTTACAAATGCTCAAGCAAGACTATCCCATTGCTATCCAACTCATCTCAAGAAAAATAATTTTTATGATTTTTTATTTATCCCACATCACCATAGTCATACATCAGAAAAAGCCATGCCATTGCTTCTCTCAGCAGTTCTGAGGAGAAATTGTTTGCTTAAGTCACTTGAATAACATTATTTTATTATAGAAATGCCTGCAGCCTCATGTCTGTTTCTCATAACGAAAACATGTACATTGTATTTTGATTTAATTTTTCTCTTTGTAAAATTGTTGTTTGTGGTTGACAAAATTCCTGAATTATAATGTAAAAGTAAGCAGGAAAATAAACATTACCTTAAAATAAGGACATACAAATTAACAGGTTTATCTATTGTGCATCATGAAAATGCGTGTTTTGGAAAAAAAAAGGGAATATAGTTAATTAAAATAATAATACAAAGAAAGAAAACAGAAAACACAGGGGGACAGAGAAATATGTACATATATGAATGTATAAGTATTCTGTGATTTTAAAGATAGCTGATCATCTAAGAGAGTTGCTTTTCAGGTTAATGCTTCTGGTGAAAATTGTCTTTTGTTTACTTTTTACCAAGTCTTGCTAGTCCTAATAGGGCACTATGTCCAAAGGTTTCATTATTTTCAAGAGATGAAGTCGTCATATTCCAGATACAGAGCCAAGTGACCATCTTGTGTTACTTGCATCGTTTCAAAGCTAATTTATGCTAAGGTAAGGTCTCGACATTACCCCCATTTTGCAGCACGTCAATGAAAAACCCTCTCAGAAACATGTACCTGATGTCACTGAGGCAGTGGTGTCAGAAGCAAAGTTTTAATCCAGAAGGAGAAATAAAAATATTATGGTCCACCTCTGAGTGCAATCCCCAAACTCGGGGATAACTGGGTCGCCTAAAACTCACTTCAAGTCCCGGTTGAAAGAAACGTCAAAAGACAAAAAAATTCTCTGTCCTCAGTAAGAATGCTAAGAAAGGGGGTACCGCGGTCCCGTTTCTCTTAAGAAAAAGGATTTTTTTGGGAGGCGAAAACACAGGGCGGGCGGCAGGGAGCGGAGCAGGGGGCGGGGCGGGCCCGGGAGCACCAATCAGCGTCCGCCGCGCTGCTATAAAAGGAGGCGCCGCCGGCGCCGCCGCACCCGCGCAGCGCCGCCATGTCAGAGAGCGCGCTCGGCCCCGCCGCCGAGGCCGCGCCCGCCGCCCCGGCCCCCGCCGCCAAGGCCGCCGCCAAGAAGCCGAAGAAGGCGGCGAGCGGCTCCAAAGCCCGCAAGCCCGCGGGGCCCAGCGTCACCGAGCTGATCACCAAGGCCGTGTCCGCCTCCAAGGAGCGCAAGGGGCTCTCCCTCGCCGCGCTCAAGAAGGCGCTGGCCGCCGGCGGCTACGATGTGGAGAAGAACAACAGCCGCATCAAGCTGGGGCTCAAGAGCCTCGTCAGCAAGGGCACCCTGGTGCAGACCAAGGGCACCGGCGCCTCCGGCTCTTTCCGACTCAACAAGAAACCCGGAGAAGTGAAGGAAAAAGCTCCAAAAAAGAAAACTTCGGCAGTTAAATCTAAGAAGCCGGTGGCGAAGAAGCCCGCCAGGGCCGCCAAAAAGCCCAAGAAGGTGGTGATAGCAAAGAGCCCCAAGAAAGCCAAGAAGCCAGCAGCCAAGAAAGTAGCAAAGAGCCCCAAGAAAATAACCAAGGTTCCCAAGCCCAAAAAGGTGGTGGCAGCAGCAGGAACAAAGAGCCCGGCTAAGGCAAAAGTGGTGAAGCCCAAAGCAGCCAAGCCAAAAGCTGCAAAAGCAAAAGTGGCCAAGTCAAAGAAGGCAGCACCCAAGAAGTAAGCCACTTCGCTGGGGAAGGCTACCTCTTCATTTAAACCCAACGGCTCTTTTAAGAGCCACCTACGTTTTCTTAAAAAGTGCTGAAATTACATGTGTTCATGTAAAAATTTTTTCTATTAATTTTGAAGCTGATTAGGTAATAAAACTAAGCTAGAGCAGTTGACAAACGTAAAAGAAAGCTCCCATACCTACTGAGGGCAGTTTCTGCTTAAATCCACGTACAAGTGAAGCATGATGGTAAAGGAAGGGGCGGCAATAAACGTTACATTTGGTCAGTTAAATCAACGAATAAAAGCAATTCAGCTCTTTAATGAGAAAGTGGGTGGCTCTTAAAAGAGCCTTTGGGTTTCTGACGGTTTTAACTTCACAGCCTTTGTTCCTCGGCGCTCACTTGGCTTTAGCCTTGTGGCTGTCGGTCTTCTTGGGCAGCAGCACGGCCTGGATGTTGGGCAGCACGCCGCCCTGCGCGATCGTCACCTTGCCCAGCAGCTTGTTGAGCTCCTCGTCGTTGCGGATGGCGAGCTGCAGGTGGCGGGGGATGAT